TGAGCTTCTCATTTCTTCTTAGAAATGTGTATTCTCTCCCTTTTTCTCTTTTAGCCCAAACTCCTCAGAATTCACAGAGCAGAATCAAGCCTGAAGAGACCTCAGTTGTGTGAATGTCACATGTTAGCACTAATAATTAGTAAATATTCAGAATTATTTATTTATAACATTTTTTTTAAGTTTTAAATTTATTTTGAGACATAGTGAGGAGGGGAGGGGCAGAGAGAGAGGGAGAGAGAATATCCCAGGCAGGCTTTGCACTATCAGCACAGAGCCTGATACAAGGCTCAAACTCATTAACCATGAGATTATGACCTGAGCTGAAACCAAGAGTTGGATGCTTAACTGACTGAGCCACCCAGGTGCGCCAGAAATAATTATTTTTTTATAGAAAGTTCTCAGGTATGTCTTTTTTCTGCCATCAGTTCTTGCCTGCATAACTGCAATATGGTCTCTCAAATTCACCCCGTGCCACCACATAGGACGCACTCTGCCTGTCTGTCCCATCATAGAGTGGCCTTTTTAAAATGCAAATACAATCATGCCAGTAACTTAATATCTGGTATTTTAATATTTTGGGACATTTGAATACCAAATGTCTAATTTGGCCCAAAGGCCTATGTACCCCTCTGGTTTCATCATATGTGTCCCTCCCTCAGATGCTCTGTACCATATTGGGCATTTTCACTTTCTCAAACTTACCTATTCTCTATACCCCAGGCCTCTTCCCAGGGCCTGTTCTGTTTGTCCCGAATGTACTTTACTGCTTCTCTGAGTCTGCTCTCTCCCCAGTTCTACCTTTTGTGTGGCTAACTCCTAGTCAGCCACAGAGGCATTCCTGCCTGGAAGCCTGAGGCTGCAAAGTAGGTTAGTTCTCAAGTAGGTACTCCCACCAGCCCCTAAGGCTTTCCTTCACAGCACTGGGCACATATTTGACTACTTCATTAATTATCTACAGTGATTTCTTCAATGTCTGACCCCTTCAAGAAACTATTAACTCTATCAGAGCAGAGACCTTGTTTTCCTGTTTATGATATCCCCCAGAGCCTAGCACAGAGTCTGGCATATACAGGGCTCTCAATATATATATGACTCAGATATATAAATCTCATATACAGGGGTGCCTGGGTGGCTCAGTCGGTTGTGCGACCGACTTCAATTCAGGTCATGATCTCAGGGTTTGTGAGTTCGAGCCCCGTGTTGGGCTCTGGGCTTACAGCTCAGAGCCTGGAGCCTGCTTCCGATTCTATGTCTTCCTCTCTCTCTGCCCCTCCCCCACTCATGCTCTGTCTCTCTCTCAGAAATAAATAAACATTAAAAAAAATTAAAAAAAAATAAATCTCATATACAGTTGACCCTTGAACAACATGGGGTTTAGGAGCATGAATGCCTTGCACAGTCGAAAAGCCATGTATAGCTTCTTTTTGTGGGGGGTATTTTTTTTATTGTGGTAAAATCACATAACACAAATTTTACTATCTTGTCCATTTTTAAAAATGTTTCTTTATTTTGAGAGCATGAGCAGGGGAGGGACAGAGAGAGAGGAAGAGAGAGAATCCTAATAAGGCCCTTCAGTGCGAGTGTGGAACCCCATGCATGGCTCGAACCTACCGAATTGTGACCTGCACCGAAATCAAGAGTCAGATGCTTAACCCATTGAGCCACCTAGGTGCCTCCCATCTTGTCCATTTTTAAGTGTTCAGTGCAGTAGTGTTAAGTGTATTCACATTGTTGTGAAATATATCTCCAGAACTTTTTCATTTTGTAAATCATAAATTCTATTCCTATTAAACAAGTATTCCTTTACCCCTCCCGACATCTTTCAGTAACCACCATTTTACTTTCTATTTCTATGAATTTGACTACTTCAGATACCTCAGATAAATGAAATTATATAGTATTTTTGTGTGTGTGACTGGCTTATTTTACTTAACATAATGTCTTAAAGGTTCACCCATATGGTAGCATTTAACAGATTGTTCCTTTTTAAGGCTGAGTAATATATTCCATTGTATGTATATAACACTGTAATGGTTAATTTTTATTTTTATTTTTTTAAGGTTTATTTATTTTTGAGGAAGAAGAGACAGAGTGCTAGTGGGGGACGGGCAGAAAGAGAGGGAGACATAGAATCTGAACCAGGATTCTGAGCTTTCAGCACAGAGCCTGATGCAGGACCTGAACCCACAAACCACGAGATCATGACCTGAGTCAAAGTTGGACACTTAACCGACTGAGCCACCCAGTTGCCCCTGTGATGGTTAATTTTTATGTGTCAACTTGATTGGGTCATGGGATGCCTAGATATTTGGCAAAACATTCCTCTGGATGTGTCTGTAAGGATGTTTCTGAAATATTTTCACACCATGTTCACAGCACTATTCATAGTAGTCGAGAGGTAGAAGCAACCCAAATGTCCATAGACAGATGAATGAATAAATAAAATGTGGCTATATTAATCAGGATTCTTCAGAGAAACAGAGCCGGTAGGATGCTGATCAGTCTATCATCTATCCATTTATCTAGAGATAGGGAAGAAGTTGGTTTCTTTTAAGGAAGTGGCTCATGCGATTATGGAAGCCAAGATGTCCCAAGATCTGTAATTGGCAAGCCAGAGACCCAGGAGAGCCAACGTGTAGTTCCAGTCCAAATCTAAAGGTCTGAGGATCAGGAAAGCTGATGGTATAAATTTCATTTGAAAAGTTGGCAGGTTCAAGACCTAAGAAGAGCCGATATTTCAGTCTGAATCTGAAGGCTGGAAAAGGCCAATGTCTCAGCTCAGTAGTCAGGCTGGAGGAGTTCTCAGACTTTTTATTCTACTTAGGTCTTCAATTAATTAGATGAAACCCACCCACTTTAAGAATGGCAGTCTCCTTTATTCAGTCTTTCTCAATTCAAGTGTGGTTCTCATCCGTGTGTAACTTTCGACTCTCCCCCAAAATTTAACTACTAATAGCCTGCTGTTGATCAGAAGCCTTACTGATAATTTGGCAATTAATACATATTTTGTATGTTATATGTATTATATACTGTATTCTTGGCAATAAACTAAGCCAGAGAAAAGAAAAGGTTACTAAGAAAATCATAAGGAAAAAAAATACATTTACTACTGTATTATACTTTATCCAAAAAAATCCACATACATATGGCCTGGCATAGTTCAAACCCATGCTGTTCAAGGATCAACTGTAATGTAATTTGGAGCATGGCATAATGTGCCTTTATTTTCAAATGCGTATATAAGATACTATACAATATTATATAGTGGGGGTTCTTCCAGGTCCTGTCTTAAGGGAATAAATAATAACCACACATAACTACATATTAATATAATAAGTGATACTTTAAGTATTATAGAATATTTTTTCTTAGGCAGTTTAGCTTAGCAGTTTAGTTCTCTGTACTTATTTTTATTTTTTTTAATGTTTATTTACTTTTAAGAGAGAGACAGAACGTGAGCAGGGGAGGGGCAGAGAGGGGGAGACGCAGAATCTGCTTCAGAGCCTGACGCAGGGCTTGAACTCATAAACTGCAGGACCATGACCTGAGCTGAAGTCAGATGTTTAACTGACTGAGCCACCCAGGCGCCACTAGCTGTTCTCTTTAGTCTGGCTCACAGTAATAGTCTCCTTGGAAAATAATTTCCTTTTATTCAAAGCCAAAGTTCAGTACCCATTAAATTATCAGAAATTCCAACTTCCTGAACTCCTAAGTACAGTTTACTGTAATACCACATTTCTTGTATTTATTGTTTTTTTTTTTCAAGCATATAAAAGTATAATGAACTTGCCTGTACCCATAATGCAGCTTTAACAGTTATCAACACATGGCCAATCTGGTTTCATCTCTGGCCCTTCCAGTTCTCCCACCCCTGCTGAACTGGTGAACTATTTGAAAGCAAATCTAAGATATCATTTTCTTTCATCCATAAATACTTTAATAAATACCTCTAAAAGATAAGGACTCTTTTAAAAAAATAACCGCAATAACAATACACACCTGAAAACTAATAACAGTTCTTTAATTTTGTCAAATATCCAGTGTTCAAGTTTCTGTGTTTATGATTTTTTATTTTTTTTAAAGTTTTTATTTAAGTAGGCTCTACCCCCAATATGGGGCTTGAACTCATGACCTTGAGATCAAGAGTTGCATGCCCCTCTGACTGAACCAGCCAGCCACCCATCTTATGATTTTTTTAAACTGTTTATATAAATCAAGATTCAATTATCCCTTTCCTTTTTTTTTTTTTTTTGTCTTACTCTTTATAATGTATTTTTTAAAGGGGCCATTTGTCTCACCGAGTTTTTCACATTCTGGCTTTTGCTGATTTCATCCCCACAGCATATTTTTTTAAGTTTATTTAGTTATTTTGAGAGAGAGACAAAGTGTGAGCTGGGGAACAGCAGAGAGAGAGGGAGAGAGAGAAAATCCCAAGCAGGCCCCTCACTGTCTGTGCAGAGCCCCGACGTGGGATTCAATCCATGAGATGATGACCAGAGCTGAAATCAAGAGTTGGACACTCAACTGACTGAGCCACCCAGGTGCCCCATTCCCACAGCATTCTTTAAAATATTTCTCTTTTCCTTAAATTTCTTGTAAACTGGTGGTTAGCTCAAGAACATGGATAAAAGTTAGGCTTTTTTTTTTTTTT